CGCCCCTTCGCGCGGCGGTCCCCCCGCACGCCGCCGGGCTTCGAAAGAGGCGCAGAGGGCGAGGCGGGAGCACCACCTCTTCGGGCGAGAAGAAGCTGCGCGGAGCCCCCTGGCGAGGGCGGCGGGTTCGACCGCTCGCGCGCCGACGAAGTTGCGTGCGAGCGAGGATGTGCGCCGCGCCCCAGCGCAAGGCCCAATGCGCTGGAGAGGTGGACGCGGCGCCGAGGCGAGAGCGACGTGTCCGCCTTTGGCGCGGGAGGCGGGCTCCATTCCCGCCGCGCACGCTTTACAGTGGGTGACATCATGCCCACGTGGAAACGAACAACTGGCTATGCAGTGTCTCACCAGGTAGGATGAGACATCATGAGTCGGGTTGCTGTCGGCCTGCTCGGCAGAGTTGGAGCACATACCAATAAGGACTGAGGATGTATAGGATGTACGCGCGCATTCCATGATCAGACACATATAAATACATATGTATTTGGATAGGTGCATGCGCATGGCTATTCACACTTAGGGTCGACGTGTTGGTAGGTTAGCTCTTGCCAAATTACCCTGTGCGAGTTTTGGCGACCGCAGCCTCTTGCCAGGAGCATGCTGTTGAACCTGCCCGACGACAAGGAGCGCGCGTTTACAATGGGGACTCTGTCGCTGGGGGTTGTCCCATGTCCGATCCACGGCGGACCTCGCCTCCTGTCTGCCCCCTCCCACACCGCACCGCTCCCCCGTGGCGGACCCCACATGGAAACACCTGCGAGGAGTGGCTGGCGGATCCCAGCAGCACGACCAGCAGCACGACCAGCACCGCCACGTGCCCGCCCTGCCTGGAGCCTACCACCGTCACGCCCGCCGAGACGCCGGAGTGCCCGGTGTGCCCTTGCGCCCGCGTCGAGAGCCCGGGCCCCGAGAAGAGCTCCTGGGCCTTCGTGATGATAGCGCACGATGAGCCAGGCCCGGCGGCACGCCACCCCGAGGCGGGATTTGTGCATCGTGGCCGCCTGGGAGATCGATCTTGGGGAACCTCTACAGGCGGTGGATATGGATACATTCGGGCCGTGGGTGTTGGGGGGTCCGAACGTGTCCATGCCCACCGCCTGCCGAGGTCCCCGAAGATCCACCCCCAGGCGGCGACGATGGGTACAGCCCTGCCTCGCAGCCAGGGGCAGTACTGTTCGCGATCCGATGCGGGTCAGTCGTCTGGACCTCGAGCGTCTCGATTCGCCGAGCTGGTCAACTGCATCGCATCCAGGGTTGTCGTTCCCCGGCAGGTGGGACCTAGCGGCGTCGGCCAAAAACATTGGGCTCTCGTGTCCCTCATGCCTCATGAGGCTCTCTAGGGTGCTCTTGCGAGGCCTCTTGACCTGCTTAGGTCTCAGGCCATGTCGGAGTGATCCTGTGGCCTCTGGGGCTCATCGGAAGCGACAAAGCAAGAAAGGATGCAAAGAGTTGATCAACACTATTCCCGCAACAGTGCTTGCACCGAGGGGTCCTTCCCTACGTTACCTCGGGAGTCAGATTTGTGTGTGTGCGTGTGCGTGTGTGCGCGCGCGCGTGTGTGTGTGTGCGCGTGTGTGTGCGCGTGTGTGTGTGTGTGTGTGCGTGTGTGCGTGTGTGTGGGTGGAGGGGGCTCGCCAGGTGGGCGCCTCGGCGCCCCGTGCGCTGGCCAGGTGTGGCGCGTGTCGCCTGGCGGGCGGCCTCGTGGCTGCCATGGGCGCCGCGTGCGCAGGCCAGGCGCGAAGGTGTCGCCCAGGTGGGCGCCACGTGGGCGCCACGCGGGCGGCCTGGGGCGCCGACTGCCGCGTCGAGGTTTCGCCTGCTGGACGGCCGTGGGCTCGGCGACGGCGCCCCGTACGCCGGCTGGGGGCGTCGAGGTTCCGCCTGCTGGACGGCCGTGGGCCTAGCGTTGGTGATGGGCCTGTTTCCACCACCACCGTAAGTAGGAGGGTGAGGGGGTCCTCCTCCTCCTCCTCCTCCTCCTCCTCCTCCTCCTCCTCCACCTCCTTCCCCCCTCCAACTTATGGCAGTGGTGGTGGAAAACAGGCCCATCAGTTGGCGCCCCATGCGCCGGCTGGGAGTGTCGAGGTTTCGCCTGCTGGACGGCCGTTGCCGCCTTCGTGGGCGCTACACGAGTTGCAGTTTATACAGCGTGCACCGCCTTGTTTGCACGCCGACGCAGTGCTCACCACAGTGTTTGCAGCGCGCACAGCTGGCACCACATGGCGTGCACCACGTAGCTCGCACGCCTACAGTGCAGGAACTCACTGTTTGGTCTCCACGCTCGCCGTGTAGACACAAGCCTGGCTACTGTAGTGGGGGAGCCTTACGGCCATTGCCGCTGACCCTGAAGGGGGACGACGACGATGACGGCGGCGGCGGCGACGGGGGCGGCGATGACAACGACGCTGACGCTCTGGAGCCCTTCTTCTGGATTTCTTGGGCTCTGTTTGGGGCCTCTTGTGAGACTTCTTGGGCAGCTCCGTGGTCGCTTGGAGCCGCCTCGGAGCGAATCTGAGGCCTCTTGCAGGCATTTGAGACAATATGCAGCACCCCGCAACAGCAGATGCGAGTGAGGAGGGTGCCTCCAACGTGGTAAGGTCCAGGAGTAGGGGGAGGGGGTGGGTTCTCCCGTGTCCGCATGGAGGGAGGCGGGGGGAGATGTCCTGATTTCCCTTGTCCACAGGGAGACCACCCCCATGTCTCCCGTGTCCACAGGGTGATCCCCCACGGGGGAGGTCACGACCCCGGGACTCCCTTGGGAGGGGGCGTCGACCCCAAATGGGACAAACGACAGCCATGTAGGACGGATTACATGCATTTCGGTATCGATCCCAACCAAATGGTACCAATCCAACCGCTTTGGAAGCTCCTTGGAGGCTCCTTCGAGGTTCCTCAAGGGTTCCTTTGAAGTTCCCTCGAGATTCCTCCCTCGTGATTCCTGAGGAGTGTTCAGGCATTCCTCAAGATTCCTGAAGGTTGCCCATGATTTGTGTGTGAGGAAGTCCTCCTGATTCCTCGGGAATTCTTGTGTAATTCCTATGGGATGCCTCGGGCTTCCTGGGGGGTCCCTGATGGGTTCCTGACGGATTCCCGATGGGATCCTTATAGATCCCTCATGGCTTCTTGGTGGATTCCTGTGGGCTCTTGAGGAGTCCTGATGGATCCTGGAGGAGTCCTGAAGATCTCTGATGGGTTCCTGATGAAGTCCTGGGCAGAAGGGGGAGGAGGACGAGGAGGAGGAGGAGCAGGAGGAGAAGGAGGAACTTGAAGTGGAGGGAGGAGGAGGGAGTAACAGAAATAGACCAATGAGGAAGAGGAGGGGGAGAAGGAGGAGGAGGAGGAGAAGAGGAGGAGGAGGAGAAAGAGGAGAAGGAGGAGGAGGAGGAAGAGAAGAAGGAGTAGTAGGAGGAGGAGGAGGAGGAGGATTCGTGACCGAGTGGGTTTGGTGGCGCGAGCGGGGGATTTTCAACCCCACCGAGGGCGACGCTTCCAATGGAAGCGGTTCGCGCCTTCGGGGGTTCGGGGAACCTCCGAGCCCATGGGGAGGGCAAGGGTGGCTCAACGGTTCACTTTTGCCCCCCGCTGCCGTCGTTGAATTTGTTCGGCCCCCGTTTCTTTTCCCGCGGACGCGGGGTTCCCCGAACCCCCGATGGTGGAAGCGTTTCGTGCCCTCGGGGTCTCGGGAAACCCCCGGGCCCATGCGCAGGGAGAGGCGGGCCGAACGAGTCACCTTGCCCTCCGCCGCCGCCGCCGAGTCGTTGGGCCCCCGCTTCCCTTCCCGCCGGCGCCGGACCATTCGGTGCCCACTTCGCTTTTGAATGCACGCTGACGCAAACGCACAACATGTGAAAGCATTCAGCGGGAGGTTGTGGTCAATGCATGTCCTTTTGAACCCGTATTGAAAGCACAGATAAGATTTAACATGTCGGCGGAAGTTTGTGGTCGTCGCATGCCTGAGCATATTCCACATGTAACACGCTTGTGGCATTACAGAATTATGTGGGAGGCTGGGATCAGCGAGTTTCTTTCAACTGCACCCACATATCAACAGCGGCTAAACTATTCTATAATGTCGCTGGGTGCTGGTGACAGCTCGATTTTTGGCCGTTCGATCACATGTAGCCTGTCTGCTGCTTCCATCTAACATCTGAATGGCTCATACGTTCACCATGGGTTTATCATTGAGAGATGTCTGGTTTCCTGAGGGGTACCCACACTTCATTTTGAGTGTTGTACTGCTGGCTGCTGGAATTCCCGCAGCTCCCACGTGAAAGCCACGTAACGCGAAGCTTTACGCAAGTGTCGTACGAAGCAGCCAGACTCTCATGCGCCAGCCGTAAAGCTCCAGTAACATTGACATCCGCTGTTTCGCTTCAGCACAACAGTCTTCACATACGTCCGAAAGTAACGAAGACCATTCCAATCGGGGCACGCATTTTGTGTTCCAGAATGAACGTATATTCTAAGGACCTGCATTTGATTCCGGAATCGTCATAAAATGCTGCGCACGTATAATTATTTCGTCGGCTCAAAACTGCTGGTTGTAATTTGTACCACATGGTGTTTTAGCCAGTTGAGAAGTGACCAGGTCGGTCGAAATTGGTGTAAGTCGGTTGGGATTGGTCTGGCATGCGGTGGCGAGCCCCCCTTTCCGACAGGGAAGAGATCAATGGGAAGGGGCCTCCCTTCGAATTCGCACGACGTTGTTTGATTTCCGCTTGGCTGGATCGATTGGGGAGGAGGGCCCAGGGAAAGGGGGTGGCGGCGACGGCGACGACGACGACCCCACTTACCAACGCCTTGCACACGCCGGCATGGTCGGCAGATTGAAACATCGGGGCCATCTTCTTGCTCACCAAATATGGTGACAATTTTGGTCCCAGGGTTGTGTGCGACAGTGGGCAAGCCAGATTACTTTAACCAATTGATGCTGCGGCACCGCTTCGCGACATGACCCGAGAGCAACTCACCAAGTTCGGCCGACAACACATGAGGCTCCAGCAGCAGATCACACAGTTCGAAAAATGCGCAGATATTATGCAGTTCAATATTGGTCGGGGTAAAGTCTCACAGGCGCTGTTCTGATCCAGTTGTCCAAAACAGCCTGCATTGCGAGGATGGCGTGCCGAGTCACCCATGCGTTGTAAGCACGTCTGTCAGATATTGCGTTGTATGTAATTCTGGATGGATCATCGCGGCTTGCCTGGCAATTGAACACCCGTCTTCTGACACATGCCCCCTTCATTGGTCATCGGGTCAAGTTGCGCAGTGATGTCTATATCTATCGGACAAGATGTTGCTTAGTCCCGATGCGTTGTATTGAATTATAGGCGAAGGATGCTTTTGTCAGGCCGCTATTTTTACCTCAGCTGGTGTATAGGGTTGTCCGTAGTTGGGACTTCGCCGAGGCTCTCACGAGCACCTCGTGGGGGTGCTCGCCATGGCACGCGCGCTGCAGAGGCTGAGCATGTTTCCACTCGTGGTCCTCACCAACGCCACCGAGTTCCCCGACGGGACTCAGGCGAGGTTGCCCGGGTCGCAGCGCAGTCCTTCGGGGATTGGCAAGGCATGTCGCGGGTTTCTTGGGTTCAGGGAGTTTGTTTTCGTTTTGCCGCGTTGATTCCCTGAGCGCTCCCGCTTCCCCCGTTTGTTTCGCGGGTTTCCCTCTGTTGTTTTTGCATGGGCGCGCCAGAGAACGCTGGGATCCACAGCGACAGTCTGGAGCCTGCAGGGACAAAGCAGTACCTATGCACATGTCTACATCTACACACCGTGTTTTTATATGTTTGCAACCAGCGAGGGCGGGGCCCTCCCAACAAAAAGAAGCGGCCTCCCAGGGACCGTGGCCCCGGGAGCCCCCTGTGGACGCTTACGCAGACGGTCTCCCAGAGTTTCCAGGGCTCTTGGAAGCCCCTGCTGGGCTTAGGCACAGGCCCACCTCGGTCGGCAGGGCGGCCGACCGGCCCCGCGAGGACCCCTCAAAAGGCCCCGGCCTCTCGCGAGACGCCCGAGGACGACCCAAAGAAGACCCCCCATAGGTTTTCGAAGCGCACAAGTACTGATTTCCCAATGGTTTTCGCATGATTTTGGGAATGATCTGTTCTTCGCTCTTCCGGGCGCCCGAGACCGCTCAGGAGGCCCCATTTACCCAAGGACTCCCAGGCCTTCCAAGAGAACCCCAAGACGGCCAGCAGGGACCCAAGCTTGCCCGAAGACAGCCCCATGGCGGCCCAAGATGGGCCCAAGATGCCCCCCGAAGCATTCCAAATCGTGACCCGGTCGTTCAGGGAGACCGGTGTTGGAGGCAGGATGGCCCGAGGAAGCCCCCAGAGGCTCCCAGAAGGCGTCCTGGTGTAAAGGCCTGGCCCGAACATTGGGCGCCCCCGAGGAATCCGTCGTGATCTTTGCGCGGGCCCCGCGCGGGGTTGGCGCGATGGGTTATTTCGCGACTGAATATGATGCGCCCGATCTGGTTTGTGCCGCGCTTTTGTTTTACGCGCCATGCATGCGCCGATGTCTTACCTGGTGTCGCAACTCCGCGTCGCATTCCTCGCGTAGGTGGATTCGGGGCAAACAATATTCGCACACCAAGTAACATGTAAACATATGGGTCGTGTGAGTAGGTTCACCCAGCCCCAACATGTTATTTAGGGATGGCCGCGGGCGTCCAGGGTTGCATCCCGCGGCCCCGCGGCCTTCGGACATCAGTTAAGCCCAATTGCCCCCCGCCCGAAGCTCGCGCCATGGCGCCCGCTGCGCGCAGATACGTCACGGCTTTCCTTTAACTGTGACGGGGTATTGCCCACCGTATGTTAAAACCAGTGGGCCGCTATTGGGGGTTTTGGGTGAGTTTGAGAATGGTTGAGAATGGTTGAGAAAATATCGGTTTAGAGCTCCTGCAATGTGTCCCCATATTTAGGTGGCAACGGTGGGCCGAAGGGTCCCAGGCGCCACAAGTGCACGCCCATGGCGCGACATCCGTGCAACTCTTATGAGACCGTGAAGATAGGTAGACGAGGGGGGCGGGGGAGGGTGAGGTGGTATGAACAAGCATGCGAGCGGTCGGGGGTCCGACGACCGCACCTTTCCTCTTCGGCCCACAATGTTTCTTGCGCGGGTGTTCCAGGGGCCCCGACTCGACCGTGGCAGCGGTAGAACCTTGAAAGTTTCATCTTAGAGTTCGGGGCGTCGCTCGTCTCACGCCCCTTCCTCTCCGCAAACCCCTCCCCCCCCTTCTCATCCACTCCTCCTTTTCCTCCTTCGCCCCATGCAGTGGGACAGAAAAGAAGTCGAGACGTGCACCTTCTTCCACAACAACAAACGGAGGGTTAAATAAACGAGCTTGATCTGGCACTACGGGGGGCACCATCAAAACTTTAACATTGAGATTTAAGGTTTATGCCGACCCTCCACCCTATAAGATGATATGACCGCTTTCGGGCTTACAGAAGCCCCACCCTCTAAGATGTGACTTTTGGGCTGATATTGGACCCCCCCTGCTCGTTGTCCGTCTCCGTAGCCATTTTGGCTCAAAGCATTTTGCTTTGGCCACGCCGTGGGCTCCAGCGAGCCCATGGCAGAGACTGCCGTCGCCGAAGATGGCATCGGAGGGGACGTGGGCGACGCTGGCAGTGATGTTGGCGGCGGAGCTGTGGCCGTTGAGTCCGACGGCGTCGGCGGCCCGCCGACCGTCGCCGACCGGCGTGCGCGACCTCGGCGCAGACGGGTGCCTGCGCCGCCGCCCACGCACGGCCAGTGTTCTGCCTTGCTTGTCGGGCGCCCGGACGACGGGGAGGTGGTGCCTCAGAGTTTGGTGGATCAGTTCGAGGGCGGTCGTGGCATGAGCGTTGTTGGGTATTGTTCGTGCCAATGGTCTCTGGAGACGTCGTGTAGCGACGCCAAGGACCGCCACGCTGCTGCTCTGGTCACTTCTCCAGCATCAGCTGCAGTGGCATTTGGATTTGTCCACTACGAGGTGTCCGACGTCTGGCAGCTGTCGCAGGTCGTGCCCGTCCCTGCCAGCATGCAAGAAGACGTAGATGACCCATCGCATCTCCCCAACCTGCTGGAGATGATTGTTGACAGAGCCGTTGGTACCCGTTTCACTGTGAACCGCCGTTCGGCGGCGGCAGACGTGTTGGACTCAGTGTGCCACGTATTCTTGTTGAGTCTTCCTGTGCTGGCCAGCGTGCTTGTGTCCACTTCGGAGGTCGTGCTGGCGTCGTTCAAGTTGTGCGCTCGATTCATGATGGCAGGTCTCGTGCCGAACCACCCGACGCGAGCCATCGTCCGACGATGGCGGCGCGCGCATCGCCCGCCCAGGGCGTCTGCGAGGCAGGCTCGACCACTGGCACCAGGAGCGCTGACCTCGTACGAGGACCTCGCGCTGCAGCTGCCGCCGCCCAAGCGCCAGCGCCAGCAGGTCAGCGTCGGCGGCGGCGACGCCGAGCCAGCTCACAGGAAGAGGAAGGCCGACCCCGTCAGGTTCTACAAGGCTCTGAAGTTCAGGCGCCACTTGCGATCGGCTCGAGACTTCAAGCTGGCGCTGGCCGGCGCCAGCGCGTACGACCTCGACGCGGAGGCCGAGGAGAGGGACGCCATCGGCGACGTTGACAGGAGTTGGTGGCCCAACGCCGTCGCCGATCCCTTATGCCCGCTGCCCTTCCCCGAGCCCGCCCCGACGCGCGCCGCCCCGCCTCCTAGTTTGGTGGCGGGGGGGTTCGCATAGATCCCCCTCGTGGCTCCCACGGGCTTTCGGGGTAGGGTTTGCTTTCGGGGTCGGGGCGGTGTTGGTGCCACCCGTGAGGACGAGTCTCGAGAGTGGTTTGCAGCGCATCGACATCTTGGCCATGCTCCTTCACCGTCGGAGGTGGCACGCCGATCGGGTCCATGACCGCATCGATTGCGTTGCCTTGTTCACGGATGCGAGCCCGAACTGCGGAGAGGAATTCCAGGGTACTATCGCGTCGGTTCTCCGCGTGGACGGCTCGTTTTATCACGTTACGTTTCCTGGCAGTTCACTTTGCTATGGGCATGCAGATTCAATATCAAAAGGTATTGCCTTACTCTGGGGCGCGTGGCTATTATTTGGACAGGACGAAGAAGATCTGCAATATTTTTGTGAGAAAGTTACTTCAGTGACGACCGACATGGGGGCGGAACGGATGACAATTCAGTTGCCGAATTTGCGGGCTGCGTTCTGGCTCTGGTTGCGCGGTGAGCCCGTCGGCAACCTCATGGCGCACGTGGTGCAACATGAGAGACTCTTGCCCAACGCCATCCGCATGAGTGGATGGGGTCATACGTTCGGCAATTTGGCTAAGCATTGCTGTCAGACGTGGCCGCAGTGGCCTGCGAAGCTTTCACGCTTGCGGTGTTTATGCAGCTTCTTCAAGAACACGACGTACCGCAAGCACATCAAGAAGAAGTTGAGCGAAGAGCACCCCACTTTAGACGGGAGTGTTCTGGATCGTTTCACGGCTGACTTCGCGAAGTGGAGGTACCAGACCTTGGAGGTCGTTCTTCGCCAGTTGTCTTCTCTGCGTGAGGTCCGCACGTGTATCCGGCCTGAGTGGTTTCGCAATTGCCAGGACTCCGATATTGCAGCAGTGTTCGACTCCCTGGCAGATGACACGTTGTGGTGCTTCATCGTGCACGCTGGGCGGCATCTTTTTACGCCGCTGGAGCATGACCGCTTCTGGGGGATGACTTGCGCGTGCCCAGAGCACGTCCAGCAGCGGTCTGAAGCGAGAGCCCGAGGGCGCAGCATCCACATCGATTGTTTTTTCAATCCTCGGAGATTATCGGCAGCATACGCCCGAGTGAGAGAGTCGTCGAGACAGTGCATGGCGAGGTCGAGGACGCTCACGCTTGATGACGTCGGGATGGACGCAGACGTCCACGGTGCATTGGTGGCGATGTTGGAGTTCGCAGGCGGGAACATACTCAATCGCAGCAAGTACCTGGAGTCTCCGCCTTGGTCATTCGTGCACACCCTTTCCCAGGGCGGTGCCAGGGTGTTCCTTCACAAAGTACGTCGTGTTGCTTTTCAGTACCACGACCTCGTCACACAGCAGCTGATGAACGCTCACGGTGATCACATACAGCAGGTCGCATATGGCGGCCAAGTGGACCCGCTCCACGCCGAGCAGGTGCGACGCTATGCGTTGACGCCGTTGGGCGAGAGCCGCGGCGAGGGGTACCACAGAGCGACGACGCACGAGAAGAAGCGTGCCCCAGGAAGCAGTTCACAGCATGTCAAGCAGAGCGTTAGGCAGAAGGCAGCATTCCAATACATCGACGAATTTCGGAGACTCTACGGGCCTCGCGGCGATGATGTGATTCGCTTCGAATGGATTCGTTTCAAGAGAATATTGAGGCCGCCTGGGCCAAGGCAGTGGAAACCCGTCCCGATTAAGTTAGCGTCTTTTTTCAAGAGGGTATACAGGGAGGACGCGATGGCCGAGGCCTCGTGGAACTCCATCACGGGCCCCCAGCCAGACCCGATGCCGATCAACCACGAGCACGCCGGCCCGATGCAGCGGCTCCACGTGGAGTACCTGGTCGCGCTGGCGCAGCCTGGGCGGCACTACAGCGTGCAATCGCCCGCAGTCGAGCCTCAGGGTGCGCGACGGCACGCTTGGCAAACGAGCGGTAGAGAGGGGTTGCGAGGGCGGGGGGGGGGGTGGGCAAGGTGAACCATGTTCTTCCTCCCCGTGAGTCCTCGTCCTGGAATCCCACGAGCTCCCTCCACTCCAATCCCCTCGTCTTCCTGCTATCTCCCCCTGCACCTTCCCTAGCCGAGCGGCTGCCCAGCCATAGCAATAGTTTGATTCGCCCTCCCCCCGCACCTCCCCCTCCCCCCCGCGGCCACGCGCCTTAGTTTGTCATGCGTGTCTTTTCGCACCCACCCCATGTCCAAGAGGATGGAGCTGAAAGGGTATCTGAACGGGAGGTGTTCTTCAAAGTATTGGAGGCGGCACACGGGAGATCGCGTGCACACCTCATGCCGACGGTCGAGAGTGCCGACGACCCGCAGCTCACTTCCGCTTTGGCCCTCCACGTCGTGATGGAGACCTGCACCGCGGAGCCGCCGAGTGGAATGATCCCTGGTTCGAAACGTGTAGTGGCAGATGACGCCCCCCAATGGATACGGCCATTCTCTATCACTTCTTTTGAAAAGTTCTACAACACGATGCAGCACTGGAGCAAGGCTGAACCCTCGAGCGCGCAGCCAGGCGCATTGGTGTTGTCTGAGCCGCAGGCCGCTCGCCAACCGCACAGCATCTTGGACTCCCGCTGCCCCGCCCTTGCAGTGGTGATTCATTTGAAGTCGAAGGGTTGGAAAGCGGTGCAGCGCCAGGTTGACCACGTCAGCACTGCTGTCGGCGACATGGACGGGACCGAGGCCGTGAGGATGAAGCAGTACTTCCAGGCGCTGGCTTCCATCGACAAGTGCATTCCCCTCACCTCGCACATGCCCTCACGCCAGCCCATGAAGTACTATGAATGCCTCTTGCGAGGCGTCCCAGCCGAGCCTGGCCAGTCGAGCATCGAGTACGCGCTGGCGCTCAACAGGGCCAGCGGCAAGAAGGGGCAGCTGGCGCGCCACCTGGCGTTGGAGGATGCGCCAGCCTTGCTGGCGCTTCCGAGCGCTGGCGGAGGCGACGACGGCGTCGGCGGAGCTCTGCCGCCCCAGGATGCCCCTCAGCGGCGGCGCGGGCGCGACTCAGCCCCCGCGCGCAGCGCTGGCAGCCGCTTGGGTGGCCCGCTCGGAGATGAACCCTTGCCTTTTGTTTCGCAGCCAGTCTCTGGCGGCGGCGGCGCGGACGGTGGAGCCGGTGGCGTTGGCTTGCGCGAGCAGCTTGGCTCGGAGGGCTCGCCAGCGGCACCAGAGGCTCCACCCGCCGCCGCGCCAGACGGAGACGTGGGCGGTGCCAGCGCCAGCGCTGGCCCGCCACCGCGCGCCGTCGCTGGCGCGCCCCGCAATCCCAACCGACTCCGTTGGGGGTGGATCGATGGCCTTGATGGTTGCAAGATTTCGTATCAAGTGTACATTTCTGGGCAGCATAACACAGTTTACAAGAACTTCAAAATTCAATGCATCAACCCCGCGCACGGCGCTGAGTGCCGAAAGACGCGGGGTGACATCGATTCGGCCAAGAGGAATTTTGGACCTCTGGAGCCGCTCGCTTTTCTTCATTGCTGGTTGAATTTGGACCCCCCCCGATGGCACCTCACACGCCGCGAGGAATCCGAAGCTTCAGGACGTCAGGTCCTTCTTGGAAGCTCGGAGGGGTGAGCTCGAATCCTTGCATCGCCGCCTGCTGTCGACGTAAACAATACGAACGGGGAAACCTGATCATGCATGAATGTGTTCACGAATTCACACATGTTACAACAGCGTTCTGGAAACGGGAGGGGTCAACGCACATAAGACCATATAAACGCACATCCACCCACACGTAACGCTTCTAAAAGAAATACCGTCCGTCAAAATAGCACAAGGGTATGCATCGGCGATGCACGCAATCCTGCGCGCGTGGCATAGCGAGGGTGACCGATGCATCGGCGACGTGCATTCGAAGAGTCACGCATCGGCGATGCTCGAGTAGACAGTGATGCATCGGCTTTGCTCGCGATGAGGAGTGGGTGAGTTTGAGGGGGGTGACGCTGGGGCCGTCGCCATGTTTCTCCAGCGCAGGCAGGGCTGCCATTTCATCGGCATCGGCTTTCCACCGCCAGTCGGGCGCCGATGGCTGCGAAGCGCCCTGCGGCGGCGGAGCCCATCCTTCCAGTGGTCGGCGAGTTTCGCCAACCCGGCCCGCGGGCCCTCGAGAGGACCGTCCTGCGCCAGACCAAGCGCATCCGCTCGCTCAACATCCAGGTTTTCTGGCTGAAGAAGCGCACCAAGGCGCTGAAGACGGCGATGCTTCAGATGAAGAGGGCCGCCGAGAGCGTCACCACCGCAGACGACCAGCGCTGCGCCCAGATGCACATTGAGATCAACAGGGCTGAGGACCGCCACCCGCCTCAGGTGCAGACGGAGGATGAGCCAGAGTGAGGAGCCCGCCGCCCTGTCAAGCCTGTCACCATGGTCGGCCTCGACGAGGCCAGAGCGAGGAGCCCGCCGCCCTGTCGCCAGCTGGCGCGCCATCAGTTGGCATTGGCCAGCTGCGTTGCTTAGCGCACTCGGTATGCAGAGCGCAGTTGGCAGAGAGTGCATCAGATTTCTGTGCGCAATCAGTTCCAGGTGATATGGTATCGGGTTGTCCTAGTCATCTCCAGAACGCTATCGCTTGTTTCCAACATCGCTGCCCGAACTCCCCCACGATTCACCTACCCCCGCCAGCCTATACTAGCACAACACATGTTGCAACGCATGCCGACAGTCATGGCCATCCCCGTCTTCCTCGTCGGCGTCGCTATCCCGATATCTCCCCAAACGGCCTTCTCTTATTCCTCCCCCGCCTCGCCCTCTTTCCACTCGCCCCCCCCGCCTAACCAGAATGCGTCGCAGATAGCAGGTGGGAGGTGAGAGGAAGAGGAGGACGTGCGCGGAAGCCTGATGAGCCACGCCCGAAAACCATGGTAATGGATGGCCGTGAAAAGTTTAAGAATACGGCCTCCTTGGAACCTTCCTGAAGCTCTATTGGGCCGCTCTTGGGACGCTCGCTCTTGCCCCCCTCGCCCCCTCCACCCGCGCAACAAAAAAAACAAAACAGCGAAACAAAAGCAACACCCCGCACCATGCAAACAAACATGCGAGTACGCGCCAAGCCGGACGAACCACATACAGCACATACAAACACCGTGTACCAAGCCATAGCGCTCCATACCAAATACATGCCACACCATAACGGCTACCGCCAACATGTACAAAGCGCATACCACAACATACCAACACGTACCAACACCATACCATCACATACTGCATGTGCACATCGGACCGCACCAAAACCGTAGTAACCGTATGCCATGCCGTACCAAACACATAACGACACGCACCGAACACATACCAAACACATACCAAACACATACCACCACGTACCAATTACATGCCAAACACACACCACAACATACAAAAACGTACCAAACACATACCAAACACATACCAAACATACGAAAAAACAAACCAAAATCATACCAAACGCGTACCAAACACATACCAAACCATACCAAACGCATACCAAACCATACCAAACCATATCAAATCCATGCAACACACATACCAAACACATACCAAAGCATACCAAACCATACCAAACACATACCAAACCATACGAAACAACATACCAAACCATACCAAAACATACCAAATTCAAACCGAGCACATACCAAACCCATACCAAGCATACAAAAACATACCAAAAACATCCCAAACACATGCCAAACACACACCAAACCATACCAACCACATACCAAACCATACCAAAACATACCAAACACATGCCAAACCATACCGGAAACATACCAAACCATGCCAACACAGTACCGAAAACATACCGAACCTTAGCTAAACATACCAAGCACAGAGCAACCGCATACCAAATCATACCAAATACATTCCAACACATACCAAACACATACAAGATCATACCAACCACATACCAGACACATACCAAAACATACCAAACACATACCATAGCATGCCAAACCATACCAAAAACATACCAAGCATTTACCAAACACATACCACCCGCACACCAAGCACGCACCACATCATACCAAAACATACCAAACCATACCAGATGCATGCCACACGCATGCCAAACCATAGCAAATACATACCAACACATACCAGACACACACCAAGCACATGCCAAATCATTCCACAGCCAGCCCGAAACTCAGCAAAATCAGGCAGGGACGCACATGAACCAGCCCGAAACATATTTAAGCCAACCTGAAAAATGAAGAGGGCCCTTGGCAGCATTTCTTCGGGGGAGGAGGGGGGGAGGGGGGCTTCGCCGCGATTTTCCGGTTCCGCCTGGCGAGGCGAAGTGATCCCGTAATTCCACCCCACGACAAAATTCTGTTTCGCTACGACAGGAAAATATGCACCTCCCGCCGGAGCGCTGTGCGTATTTCTCGACGACGACATTTTTTCAGGTCGCCGCGCGGGAAGTCGGCAAGCTCGAAATTGTGCCAGTAGCACGCGTGGGGGCGCATCGCGCCCGAGGCGCTTCGCCAGGCAACGTCCTTGCCGAACGCACCATGCGTTAGGCAAGGACTTTGCCTTGGGCCCCATAGGGCCCTGGACGGCGCAAGAGACAGATTTCGCATAACTCCCCCCCTCCATTACGGCACACCTTTCAGTTGGATCTTGCCCCGTAGGAGAAATCCACGCACGGCTCCAGAGGGGCGGTTCGCATTGCGCCAACGCGCTGATTTCGATCCCCCTTGCACGGATCGTGCCCCCACGGGGGGGCCCACCGACGTCCCGAGAGGGGGGATTCAGGGCCCGCCCCGCCAACTTCGCAGCGATGCTGCTGCTGCCCCCCAGCCCAGCCAGGGATTTTGAGCTGCGAACGGGTCGCCCGCTCGTGTTCTGAACCGTTTGATCGTCGTCGGGGGGCCCGTTCGCATTTCGATGTCTCCGTGGGGTTGGCGGTGCCCATTGAGCGTCCGCGGCGCCAGGTGCGCCTGCAGCCTTTTTGGCACCGTGCCAGGGGGCCTCGGCGACCCCAGCCTGCCACCGCTCTTGCAGCATGGGCAGGGCGGCCTCCAGCAAGGGCGCTGGCCGCGGCGGCAGGGCAGGGAGCTCCCATGGCGGCAGGGGGCGCGGCGGCCGCGGCCGCGCGGCGGCGCCGCCGACCCCGCCGCCGAAGCCGCAGCCCCCCGCCCGCAGGGCCCGCGGGCCGACGCCGTCGGCGCCGCGGCTGACGAAGCAGGCGCTCGCGACGCACGAGGCGGACGGCAGCGGGCAGCAGCAGCGGGAGCGGCGCTCGGGGAGTTGCTACTTGGACAAGGTCGGCCAGGGTACGCAATCCAACGCAGCTGATCTGTTCGCGCTCCCAGGGGTTGCTCGGGTCCATCTTGGGCGCCGCCCTGGGCCCGATCGCGGCCCCGCGAAATCGAGTGGGCCGCAGGGCCCCGCGGGTCGCGGGCGCCCGCGACGGCTCGCGAGGGCTCCTGGCGAGCCCTCGGGGAGGGGTGGGGCCAAGCCAGCTATGCCCATCCAGATCCGTGGAAAGGGGAGCGGGAGCGGGCAACACATTGCCGCCTCCGAAGGTTTGCAAGAAGTCGCACACCTGCCCGTCCTGCACGAAGATGGTCCGCGTCGGGGATCTGCAGTACAGGGAGACGTTGAAGCACAAGGAGTGCGGCAAGAGGGACAGGGCGTTCGCGTGGAACATGGCGCAGAAGAGCGAGGATTGCTGCGCAGGGCTCAAAGAGGGGCCCCAACTAGAACCCCGCTGCTGTCAAGGTGGCTGCCCCCGTCCTCGGCAGCAGGGATGCACTCTCGGGGCCCATCCTGGGGTCCCAAGGCGGCTCCAAGATGCCCCACTGGGAGCTCCAAGAGACCCCGCAAGGGCCCCAAGAGGACCCCAAGAGGGCCCGAGACCAAGCGTGTGCAACGCCGAGCTTGCGCACGCTTGGTTTCAGGTCCCCTCGGATTTCTCTCGGTGATCTCCTGGGGCTCCTTGGGCCTTATTTGAAGCCCTTTGCATCAATGTCGGGGCCCTCTCGTGGCCTGAGGGGGGGGGGGGGCGAGATGAGCGCCGAGAAATCCACGCTGCTGTCGAGGTGGCGGCCCTCGCCCTCGACATCGGGGAGGCCCTCTTGGGGCCCACCCTAGGGGTCCAAGACGGCTCCCAGAGGGTCCCAAGGGTGTTCCAAGAGAGCCCCACAAGGGCCCCAAGGGGGCTCCAGGAAGGCCCGACACCAAGCGTGTGCAACGCCCCGCTTGCATACGTTTTGTTTCAGGTCCTTGTGGAGCTCTCTCGGGGCCCTCTTGGGGCTCTCTTGGGGCCATCTTAGAAGCTTCTTCGGGCGATGTCAGGCCCTCTTGGGGCCTGAAGAGCCTCGAGAGGGGCACAAAGAAATCCTCGCTGCTGTCAAGTTGGCGGCCTTCATCCTTGACATCGGGGACGCCCTCCTGGGGCCCTCTCGGGGCCTTCCCTGAGCCCCCATCGGGGCCCTCTTGGAGCCATCTTGGGGCCTTAGGAAGAGCTTCAGATGGCCCCGAGAAGGCAGTCGAGTAGCTTATACAATTGGCTAGCTTGTTGCATAAGCTGGTTGGGCCTTGGGGGGTGGGCGGAAAAAGGGGGCTGCCCCCCTGCTTCAGCCCGGGTGAACGGCCTGTGGGGCAACCTCATGCACGAGGATCCAGAGAAGGCCCAGAAGCTCAAGATGGAGTACACCATGACAGGCAACTTCCGTGAGTTCGAGTCGTGCGTCCGCACGCTCGTCAGGGAGATCGAGTACAGCGCGGAGGGCAAGGACCTCGAGCTGAACCACGACTGGTTCATCAGGACCCTCTGCAGCGCTGGTGTGAGCCGCGACGATGCCGAGGACTGCTGGGAGCACAAGGCTCTGGCGGGCGCGTGGTAATCAGAAACCGATTGGCCCCGAGAGGGTTGCAAGGGGCTCTAGGGTGCTCGAGCGGGGCCGCAAGGGCACCAAGAGGGCCCAATGGGGTCCCCGAGAGGGTTTCAGGATAGCCCCAGACAGGTTCCACATAGGAAGGTGCCCGGAGGGCCCAAATAATGACCAAGGGGGCCCCGATGGGATCTCCAGGAGGACCCCAAGTCGGCCCCAATAGGCACAGGGCCCATAGGGCCCCCGCGGTCGCATCTCGGGGTCGCCCTGGGTAGGGGTGGGGCTTAGGGGGTCCCTTCCTCCTCCTCCTCCTCCTCCTCCTCCTCCTCCTCCTCCTCCTCCTCCTCCTCCTCCTCTTGCTCTCGCTGCCCGCCCCTTCTCCGTGCCCAGAGTGCGGCATCGCGTCGTCGCTTCCGAATCGGCGGTCAATCCGTCCATCCATCCATCCATCCTGGGGCCGCTTTCGACCGCGCGAAGCAGGTTTGGGGCGGCCTCGAGAGGGCCCCCATATAGGAGGGAGGATGGAAGAAACGGAGAGAGGAGGGAGGAGGAAGGAGGAGGAGGAGGAGTGAGAGGAGGAGGAGGAGGAAAATATGATGATGATGATGATGAGGAGGAGAGGAGGAGGGAGGGGGGGGGGAGGAGGATGGGGGAGGAGAGGGGGGGGGGGAGGTGGACCCCCGCCCCCCCGCGGCGCGGCAACGGGCAACTG